AAAAAAAAAATGTTCCAAGACTCCAGAAAAAACCTACCTAAGTATGGTATACATGGTAAGCTCAGTGATTGCAGGTGTTGACGCAAACGTTCCCAGTTCCGTTCACTATCAAATAACAAACGCAATTTGTTGAACACGGCGCGCTCATGTCGAGCAAGAAGCTGAAAAATATTTAATTATTTTGATAAAATAACGAGCTATGACAGCAAATAAAAAAAAAAATTAAATAGCCAGCACAAGATAACAGTGCTACAGCCAGCAAAAACGGGTGGTATAATTTGACAAAAACCTCGACTGTGATCAAAAGTTTTTGATAAGTGGTAATGTGCCACTAACAAAGAAGGAAATATGCAGATTTCATATCGCTATCATTATGCAACTACTGATATCCTGCCCAATTTGGCTAGGGCCGGATTGAAAGGAGAATTCCAATGACTAGGAAGTGAAGATTAAAGGGACAAAAGCAGAAACGAAAGGTCAAGGGTGGAAGTTTTGGTCTCAGGGATCACAGTGTGAGTGGAGGGCAGGGCTACTAACTGGAGCCTCGGTTAGAAATAAGAACAGGAAACAAGGGCGGGTTTTATTAAGGAAAGGGGGAAGGGGAGAAACTTTATCGGTTTTTTAATATTCGGCATGAAATATGATGCTGAGGGGAATCTAGCAATCTTAAAAAAGACGTATAGGACCTTAACCAGGCAAAAAACCGTTATTATAGTTTTCGCAACTCGAAACCGAACCCAAAAATAAGTGCACATTGAGCAGCTGAACCGAGTTTTAGCACCTGCTCATATCTGTTGGTTAAACAGTCGGTGAGGTGGAATCGCCGAAGGAGTGGAAACATTCGCAAAAAAGTGGTAACTATCGAAGACATTTGAAGCCCTGCCAAGCGCTTCTGTCCGGAGGGCCGTTGTGAAGCGGTCATTACAGAAGATGAAATAAATGTCAAGAGTCCCGGCAGGCTGGCCAGCTGGTCAAACGGCTGGTGAATAAAGGGAAAGCCAACCGTGAATAAGCAGCTGTTTCAGGGGTACTTATTTATGTACGTTGCATCAATCTAAACCTATAACTACTACATAATATTTGCAATCCTAAAAAAAAACAACTGTCAAAAAAGCGAATAATAAGTAATGCTGTAACAAAAGATTCTTGAAAGCGTGCCAAAAAAGTTAAAAAATTAATTTTGGCGATGAGCGACGGAAATATGTTCAAACTCACGTTCCAAGTCTTCGTCAGGCGATAAATGGCAAGACTCTGCACGGCACTGATAAGAGAAAATGTTGAATTCAAATTATTCAAATCGTATAAATGCTGCAAAAATTCAAAACTACAGGTTATAGCATGATTTCTAAAAGTAAAAATAAAAAATGCGGTTACGGGAATCATCAAAAAAAATAAGAACTATAAAATCAACGAGGAAATTTCAAACATTTTAGCTTTCAAACCCCACACATTTTATCGTGTTACAGCAAGTGAACTAACGCATCGAGTTCTCCCCAAAATTACCGAAACTAAGCTAATCAATGGAAGAGGAATCTTCTGTGTTATTAGAATACGCCTGTCCACTCTTGGGCAACTTGCACCATGTTTTTTTTTCTTTTTTTTAAACAAACGTAAGAAAAAAAAGGCTCACTTTTGCAATTTTGATGAAATGTCCCAAAACTTCGGAACGTTTACTAGCCTTTTCATGTGATAAGATCTCCCTTTGGCACCACAAACAAACCGCATTGAACCGATCCGTAAATGCAACAATATTTGGAGCATCGGCACGCTTGCTCTTTTTTGCCCATGCCCCATTTGCCAGTTCCTGAAAAGAGACCTCTCTTTCCTAGCAAGGCTTCGAGTCAAGACTGAACGAGCTTTTCCAGTGTTGCACTT